ATGTTAGCTGACATAGGGTCAGGCTGGAAAAGAGCTAGTGGTGGTCAAACCAAAACATGGCCTCACCAGTCAATGAAATCTACAACAGTTATTCTAAGCCAGCCAGTCAAGTAGGAAGGTGTAGACTTCCTGACTGGTTGGGGTCCTCGGATGGTAAAAACCAATGGTTGGAAACAGTCGGTGATATGGCTCGAAATCGTTCTCAATGGCTGGTGCAGATGCATCCACTTCTTGTGACTTATGATTTCCAATGAAACTATATTGTTCTTCGTTATTACTCTTCCTTTGTCTCACACCTCTGTTTACTGTCTCTAGTATGCATTTCTTCTACTTTCTTCTCTTGCTATGTGTGGTACAAGGAGGGAGTGTGGCGACTTAAACTTCTGCACATCGGTGCAAAGTTCTATATCGAAAACAGCCAGACAAAACGTTTGAGTGATATATTCATTTATTGATTACCCCTTCCATCTAGATACTTTTACTTGGTTTATTTATTCTTGGTTGATTCATATTCTCATTGTATCAACTTTCTCACCTGAGTGACTAACCTGTTTTGGAGTGTTTTTTTTCTGAAAATGATTTTCCTACATGTCGAATTTCGCTTTCTACTAGTCTCTCTCTCTCTGCATATTTGTCCTACTAATCAGAAGAAATCAAACGAGAAATCATTGTATGATTATTTGTTAGTAAGGCCTTCTGACTGGAATGTAGGGTTTCTCCATTTACTCTTTTCTCTGCCATTGTTTTCAACTGACTCCACAACTGTCTACAAACATTAATGAGAGAACTATTTAAAAAAAAACCAAGAGGCAGTAAACAGCGCTGTTTGATAATACTTTGAGACTCTTCAGAAGTTCAGGTGCACTATTTTATGGTTATTGTCCGTCTATAACTATCAGATTTTAAATTAAACACTTTATCATTTAATTAATAAGTGTTATCCAACTCTTACTGATTCACACTGGCGACAGTATGATATGTCTTCATACTTGATTTACTGAAATTCACTTGTCAGATCTCATCAAAACTCAAGGAAATGCATCTCGAAACTAATTAGTAGTTACATAGCCTTCCGGTTACAAGGTAAGCTAGCTCGTAGACCATTGAGCCACTGGGACTCGACCCAGTGGTTCTTGAATTCTAACTTCTGCTAATTCACGACATAGCGAGACCCCTAGTCGATGGTTTTCGCGCGAGTATCTGTCCTCATATCCGATCTGCTGCACCCTACTGGTCACGGCTTCCCACTAGAATCCCAGGTCACTGTCTGAATAGGCCAGTCGCTAGTGAGCAATTGAGTGAGTAATAAGTAGACCTAATTTTTTATATGTCATTTTTGCATGTCTGTATTTCTCTCACTCTACTTATGATCTTTGAAGTCCTATCGGCTGTTCTCTGTCTTGATTTATCAATGACGTTAGTGTCTTTCATGATCATTTTAAACATGATATACGCAAGCGCTGTCAGTCTCTTTTGAATGTTGTTTTGAGACAGTAAAAGCTGTCTTATCAACGTCCAGTCTTTCTTGTGTCTTTACATGCCGTTGGTATTACTATTGTCATTGTTGTTGTGGTTGTTGTTGGCGTGCGATCAGGACAGATTAGCTAGCTCATTAAGTTAGTATTCGCCCATAGTCTCCTAGGTGGTTATAGTTCTGGTCACAACATTTGTATGTAGATTTTATTGAAGGTATCTTCATGAAATTTGAAACTATGGAATTTGTAATATAAATGACATCTAGACTCAAGAAAATACTTCAATTTTAAGTCAGTATTACAAATGAACTCCTTCTCTTTCTCTTGGAGCACACAAACAATGCTGCTATCTTTCATATTTGATAAAATTAACACTAGAAAGTGTATGTGTACATGAATCAATTTTCCTCTTCTAATAATTTTCTGTATAACGAATTCTGTGTAGAACACTGAAAGTATAGAAAATGTAGAATAAGTCTGTGTGTCTGTCTGTCTGTTTTCGACATAGAACTTTGCACAAATGTGCGGAAGTTCAAGTCGCCACACTCCGTGTAGCACGCGAAGCAAGAGAAGAAAGTACAAGAAAAGCATAATAGAAACAGTGAGCAGAGGTGTGAGACAAAGGAGGAGTAATAAAGAAAAACAAAACAGTTTCATTGGAGATCATAAGTCACAAGGAGTAATATTTTTACTTTAGACCATTTCAATCTGTAGGTTGAATTTGATGATAATCAAAGATTAAACACAAAACTTGGGTCACAACAGAATTTATGTCAACTGTGGAATATTAAACTCATAACCAATCCAGAATCTACTGGTTTGTATTTCTAATCTCATTGTAGTTTTTAGCATTACCTCAGTTAGCATTAAGTTAAATCAGATTGGCCTGTATATTGATGAAAAAATGAGATTTTCATTCAAGTATGCATGTGAATGAAATGTAATTGTAGAATTTAGCCACTACAGTAGAATATAATTATAATTTTCATCTTAGATAAGTTCATTTGATATAACCCAAAGCGATTGACACAATATTAACAACTGGATGACGTTTCGAACATAATCATACCAATGTATTCATATGATTTCATAACTTGCTTCATATATATATATATATATATAATATATATATAATTACTTCCCTCTGTCTTTCAATGCAGTTTTCCATATATAACCAGTATAGGCAGTTGAAATGATGCAACACCTATCCTGGATATATGTAAAATTTCTACAAAAAGCAAGGGAGAGTGAAAATGCCTAATACAAGTCATGAATTCAAGAGAATTTACAGATATGATTATGAAAAACAAACTGTGCTTGAAAGGTTATTCAGTTATCAATACTGTATCACACTTAGTGTCACATCATATGTACATATGGGGAGCAGAGAGACAGAAATACGCTGAACCACCGATGACGAGACTCTAGAAGATCTGGATTTAGCGAGTGGATGATATAATGTCTAATGTCGCATAAACTTGAAAACTTGCAGGCAAAAACCAACAAACTGACTGAAGAAGCAGAGAAGACAGGACACTAGATGAACATAAAGAAGACGGAGGTGATGGAGATAACCAGTCAACAACAACAACAACAACAACCAGCACCAACCACCATTAGCGGGAGAGATTTGACAGAGGTGGCTTCCTTCACTTATCTAGGAAACAAAGTTTCGACTACAGGCAGTCGAAACGGATGAAGATTGCAGAGCTAGCCAGCATCGATCGGAAAGGCAAGATACACCTTCATCAAGCGGTAACCAGTTTGGAAACCTTCTACACTCAAATAAAGAACAGGATTTGGATTTTCAACACCAATGTAAAGTCGGTCGGTTATTCTATACGGGTCAGAAATTTGCACAGTCAGTGTGTTAGGAAAAGGATTTCCAACAGGTTGAAGACTTTTATCAACCGACTTTTATCAAGAACCGATCACTCAACAAATATGTAGTAGAAATTGGAGATGGATTGGGCATACGCTGAGGAGGCTATCAAATGACATCGCGCGCAATGCATGCCATTGCTCGAGTGGAATCCGAATCTGAAGTGAAGAGTGGTTAGTCAGTTAGGGTGACATAATGGAGATGGTGTGAATTGGAGGGAAAGAGAGATTATGGGCAATCGTGGACCCAAATGAAGAGGACGGCAGAAAACAGAACAAAGTAGGGATGTGTTGTTAAAGCCCTATGTTCCACTCGGAACCCAAGGGAATAATGATAAAGTGTACGTATGAAACTATTCTGTCAGTCGGACTCACTGTTTAATATCAGTCTCCTTCTGGTTGATCAGATTTGTTTTTGACTGAATTTTTAATATTTGAATTATTTATTTAAATTAATCGTTGAAACTAGGCTTTTGATGTTCCATAAGTCCTGCTTGATTTCATTGAATCAATATGCTTTTTGTCAGATGTTTGTCGTTCCAAAGGAAATTTATCGGATACTTCCATTTTTATATTTAATCTAGTTTGATTCTTCAATTTGAATATAAATCAAAAGATCCAAGAGCCAGATGATCTGGACTGACTTATAGAATGAATTCGCGTAAATAATCTACTTTACCAGCTATATAATCCTTCCAAGGATAATTACTTAAATGTAATTTTAAGCTACACTCTACAGTGTAAATATTTTTTTAGCATCAGTGATGTATCACAATTAAATCAGTAGGGACATTTCTATTACACAGACAGTTTCCTTACAAGGACTTTGAAGGATAGTTGTAATGTACTACGATTTGAATACACAAGAAAAGTTTCAACGAAAACAATGATGTTGCAAGAATTCGATTATGTACATTCATAGTCCTAAGAGGTCTTCGAAGCTTATTGAGAAGTAAGTACTTGTCAAAAGGCTGAATGTGCTTAGAAGTTGAAGGCAATCGCCAGAAAAAGCTTGACATAAGTTTCGTGCAATCTTGAAGGGACTGATTTCCCCTCTGAGATTCGAACCTACTTCACCGAATGTTGCAGTTATACACGTTATCACTGAGAGGTATTCTACTTGTAGGACGATACAAGACACATTGAATGGTCACCAGGGTACAAACACTTTCATACGTCTAGTTCTTGGTATTTCTGTAGATTGAATTCTACCAGCCAACTTACAATATGCTCACCAAACAAGGTTCCAGCCATCGCGATGCACTCTAAATTGATGTTAGACGGTTGAAGGCATCATTTCTGAGTACTCCGCGATGGCCAGTCACTTCGCTAGCTGAATACATTGCAAAGTCGGCTGACAGAATTCAGTCTACATAAACACCAATGACTAGACTCATGAAAATGTACATTTGATAGGACAGTCTGGAATATTGTGAGAAATAAAACAGGAATGAAACAGTTGACTACTCTACGCACTTCAAAAGTATTCTAAGGAGTTTCATTGATAAAATTCATTAATAAATCAGTCACAAAAAAAACTAAACAGCTACAAGCGATTCTGATGATTCGACACCATTATTATCTGTAAAATTGCATATACATATGACACGTAATCCTTTTGGTTTTCAAAATTTAATCTTTTAGACGGAGAATATGGATTGTGAACAGCGTTTACTTGAAGAAAAGTTATCTAGACAACGTGATCTCATTAAAATTTGGCCAACCATCTTAAAGCGGCTTATTCAACAAGCAATGAATGAATGATTCATAATGCTATAAGATGAGCAAACTACTAACTATATGTGTTGTTAGTAGTAAGCAAAATTGTGTAATTAACGTATACTATTCATATACTATTGGAGTGATGTAATACAGACATAAAATAAATATTTTGCATAGTATTATATTTTTCTGGAACAGAATACTATTACTTACGCATACAAATGCATGAATGAATTAAAGTTATCAGAATCAACTTAGGACATTGTTTCCACCTTCGTTTTTGTAATTTCAATATGATTTATGCGGTTGTTTTTTAATATGTACAAATCTGACAAGTTATTTCAATCTATTTCACTTTATTGTACATTTATTTCACTCAGGGTAGTTGAACAATTTATTATAAAAATTTATGAAATGATTCAAAATAGTTCTTCAAAAAGATGACAATTTACTTTTTTCTTAAAAAGTTCAAGAAATACCAATAACAAAAAAACGTGATAGATGAACTACAAGAAATTAGCAACAAGTTACTTTCAAAGTTTGGGATTCTTCAGTAGTATGCAACAATCAACCCACTGGTAATCGAATCTAACACCTTCCAGTTACAAGACGAGCTCGTTGACCAGTCAGTCAGCCACTGAGACGGAATCCCAAGATCCATGAATTGGGTTTAGGTTGCGCGAATTCACAGAAGTCAGAGTTCATAAACAATCGGATTCTGTCCCAAAGACTGAATGGTCAGCGTGGTCGTCATATAAAATGAACGTTCTGGGTCCGATTACCTGTGGTATCATAGATATCTACTGATGAAGAGTCCAGAACTAGGACGAAACGACTGCTAAGTTCTTTCTGGTTTTGAATGGTTATCCAATTGATATCAATCTGTGATCAAACTTGAAACGAATTAAGTTCCTACAAACTATCACCCTTGGAAAGTTACTTTTAATCAGAAATGTGACATTAGTCTACTGGTAATCGGAAATTGACGAAATATCGACAACTGCTTAACATCGGCTCATGGTGACATCCGCCGACGAATTCAGTTTGTATCCACTGTATATCATAAACTGAAGTAAAGAAAAAGTGTGGATAACTGTTGACCTACACGTTGAAAACAACCAAATTTCAAACTGCCTTGTTAATTTTTAGAAAACAAATATGAAAACAATTTCTGCAAGATAATACGAATACTTTTTAAAACTTCCATGACTAGCTGACATCGCATCTCAATCGCTGAATGGTTTAACAACTCGCCTTCTAGAAGGATTATCTTGGGTCCCAGTCCTCGTGAGTACGTATTGATGAAGAGTCCTAAACTAGGACGAAACAGCTATCAAGTACCCCTTGGTTTTCCAAATATTTCTTCAATTGATGTTAACTCGTGATAAAATCTGTACACCGTCGAATCCCTCCAAATCAACACTTGAGAATTCATCCTATTTTACAGGGTTTTCATCAGCTGCGTACAAATGATATAAATGAGAAATTAAGAATGATTACTGTGACATAAGTGACTAAATGCCCAACTGATATCGGAAGAGTAGATTAAAAATAACAATTAAAACAAACACTGTCTCCACAGTATATATAGGATAAAAGTATAGGCATTCTTATCAATGAAGATGATATACTCTAATTTAGAGATGAACCTAAATAAAAGTGGTTATGTAATCCCAGGATAGAACAGCTATTCAAACAAAACAATAAGTAAGCTACGCGAAAAATTGTAACAACAGAAGACAAGGTCTAGTCAACAGATTGTTTATTAGGGAAATCAACACGTATTTATATATTTTCATGTACATTATTATAGATTATTCAAGCAAACAAACACAGTCTTCTGATTGGTTGTTTCTCACTGAAAGTTAACCTTGCATCTCTTTGTGACTGTTTCTTAAATGTCAGATGATCTATATGTTAACTGTATCCGCCTACGCAAAGTCTTTTGTGCTTGGTTGTTGAATCAGTCTTTGTTCATATTTTCTCACGACCAATATTGGGGGCGTCGTTGGCATAGCGGTTAGGACGCTAGCCGACCATGCACATGGTCCGCGGTTCGATTCTCGGCCGACCAACTCCTTTACCTCGCCAAGCCAAAAAATAATGCTAGTAAAGAGGAAAGGTTGGACATGGGGTTAGCAACCCCATCCTGTAAAAATAAAATAAAACACTGCTATAGAAACCTTATTCAACAGCTGTACGACAACGCCACATGTCAAGTCATCCACAACGGAAAACTCAGCGAGGTGTTTGGAGTAAACACAGGAGTCAGACAAGGGTGCTTATTAGCTATCATCAATGATATTCCTAATTGTGGTGGACTGGATTATGCGTCAGACAGTGAGTGGGAAACGAGAAGACAGGGATATCCTGGACCAACCGAAGTGACGAACCTAGAAGACCTGGATTTCGCGCGTGGATGATTTATGCTTGATGTCACACAAAATCGAAGACTTAAAAGCGAAAACTGACCGACAAACTGGTCGAAGAAGCAGCGGCGAAGACAGGACGCTAAGTGAACATACACAAAACGGAGGTTATGAAAATAACCAACCAACAACAACAACAGCAGAAACATCCAGTGCCAATCACCATCATCATCGGGAGGGATTTGAAAGAGGTTACTTCATTCATTCACTTATCTAGGGAGCATCGTCTTAACTACAGGAACGGAGGAACGGACGAGAATGTCAAATCGAGCGAGAATCGGGAAGGCAGGCGAGAAACACATTCATCAACCAACTGAAACCAATCTGGAAATCTTCGTCACTCAGCCAGAATCAACAACAAAATTCGGTCGGATTTTCAACACAAATGTAAAGTCAGTTCTTCTATACGGATCAGAAACTTGGCGGGTGGGTCACAAAGAATATTTCCAACAGCCTGTTGCAGACTAGACCTTTATCAACTAACAACTTTCTTCGCTGGATCTATACTGAAGATCAGATGGCCGGCCGGGCCGGAAAGAATCACTAACAAGGAACTATGGGAACAAACAATGCAAGAACCAATCGTCGACCAACCAATATGCAGGAGAAAGTGGAGATGAATTGGAAACTCGTGGCTGAGGAGGCCGGGCCGCTGGATGATATCGCGTGCGCGTCGGGCCATCACTCGAGTGAAACCCGAAACAGAAGGGGCGAATGGGACGTGACATATAGGAGATCGTGTGAAGAGGAGTTGAAACAGTATGAACTAACATGGATGCAGGTGAAAAGTACAGCAAAAGACAGAAGCAAGTGGAGACGTGCAGTTGAAGCCCGATGTTCCACTAAGAACTCAAGGGAACAGTAATATAATAATATAGAAACTTCAAGTCACTAGCTTAAAGCCCTATGTTCCACTGGGAACGTGAAGGAAAAAAATATTGGGGACGTAGTCATTGACGTAAATTACTGTCTACCAACTTTGGCTAGCAGCCAGCTCTCACCACAAAATAACAAACGCATTAAAAACATTAGTTAATAGGAAAGTAGAAGGAGACCAACGCCGGACGTTAACGCCTGAAAATGTATGGTCACTAATTCCGTTTGTTGATAATGAAGGGTTCAAAAATTAGCGTTCGTCTCCCTTATAATACACAACTGAGTGATTACTATTACTTATTCATCTGATTATATTGACTGTACACAACCGATGTAGAAAAGCTAGATATATCTATCCCCTCATAAATTGTTTCCGTTACATTATGCGAAATCATCAAGTTATTGGAGATTAAGAGGAGATGAAAAAAACAGGATGTAAACTGACATCAGAGTGTTGGATGATCTAATTTGCATATGAATTCATTTTTACCACTAGTCACACGTTGGCTGGTCAATAATCAACTATTTGGTTTGAGAAATAGTATTCTTGGATCAAATGACCTTATTTCCAAGTAAAGTAAACATATTTTTGATTGCACACTAGTCAGTAACTAGTTTAATGTGTCTATTCCTATCTTCGGTGCAGACTGAATTCTATCAGTCAAGCTTGCAATGTGGCCACCATGCTAGGTGGGTCGCCATTACGGTGCACTGTGGATTGTTGGTATTAGATAGTTGGAGGCAATCAGCCACAGGAAGCCTTGGACTAGGTTTCGTGCTAGCTGGCACTCACCAGTCAGCAAGGCGTATCTGCAACCTTGAAGGAACTCATGTCCTTTCTGAGATTCGAACCCACGTCACCCGTTGCTGCAGTCAGAGACGTTACCACTGAGATATTTAGGCTCGCGATTGACCTCCTGTAGGACTGTATTGGATATTTTTGGATATAAAGTAAACATAATTTAGGGTTATCTGTACAGATTTAGGTCATTAAATGCTTATTCCCACTAACTTTGCTTTATTGTTACACATAATAATAATAACATATAATAATAAAGATATACCTCGGATAGTGATATGCAGAAATCTGTTGATCTACAGTGATCAGTGTCACATCTGCTCCATAGTGTTGATAGAGTTCTGTCGACTTCTTATCAGTTAGTTACCTGCGACAATTCAGTAACAGTGGACTAACTTGAATGACTTAGAATAGTAGTTGTTCTTGTGATCAATGCCTTCTATACATGACAGCATACAAAACTTACATTCATGTCAAAGCACCTGTAAATATTTTGACGGTAATCAGATGTTTAACTCACCAGGCGTTTTAGTATTAAGGAAATGAATTCTACACAGGTTAGAGTTAAGAAACTGGCAAAGCTGTTGTAAATGAACACTAAGGAAACTAATTATTAATGAGCGATTGAGTACTTTTGCTGTGCATACTATAGACCATCAAACTGAGGCTACTTTTCGCATGAAAACAACACCCTCTACTAAAATGCCCCCGAAGAAAACTTCTATTGATTCATTAAAGTCACTATCAATAATTTTATTGCCATGAAGCTTATTATTCTCTGAAGAAACCAACAATGGTTCAAAGAGCTTTCAGAAATTTTTGGTGGGAGCTGACTGCTAGCCAAATCAGTAGACAGTAATTTACGTCAATGTTTACGTCCCTAATATCGGTCGTGAGAAAAATAAGAACAAAGACTGAGTCAACAAACAACCACAGAA